ATGACATTATCAAACTTTTCATGCCATTGTTTTGGAGCTTGTTTTAAGCCATACAAAGACTTAACCAATTTACAAACTTTATTCTCTTGCCCTAGAGCAGAGAACCCTTCAGGTTGCTCCATATAAATTTCTTCTTCTAAATCTCCATTTAGAAAAGCTGTTTTTACATCCATTTGATGTATTTCAAGGTTTCGTAAAGCTGCAATTGCAATAATTACCCTGATGGATGTTATCCTCGTTACCGGAGAATATGTATCAAAGTAATCAAGGCCTTCTTTTTGCTTATAACCTTTAATTACAAGTCTAGCCTTATACTTATCAATTGTTCCATCAGGTTTCATTTTCCTTTTGAAAATCCACCTGTAGCCTAATGGTTTACTTCCATGAGGAATATCCACTAGCTCCCATGTGTGATTTTGCAAAATAGAATCCATTTCACTTTGGATTGCTTCTTTCCAAAGAGGTCCTTCAGAAGAATTTACAGCTTCTGAAAACGTTTGTGGTTCACTTTCAACCATATATGTTAGAAAATCTGGACCAAAAGATTTTTCTATCCTACCTCTTTTACTTTTCCGAGGTTCTACTTCAACATATCCATCTTGATCCTTTTCCATTATTTCTAAGTTTCTTTTAATGGAACTAGAATCCACTTCAGACTTACGTGGAAATATATGCTAAAAAATGAAGCATTTCTAGATTCAAGTATCGTATTCTTATGAATTTCCTCAATTTTGGATTCATGTACAAGAAAACGATAAGCACTACTGTTGTGTGCATATCCAATAAATATGCAATCAACAGTTTTTGGTCCAATCTTTATTTTCTTTGGCGTAGGTATTGCTACCTTTGCCAGACACCCCCACACTCCAAGTATTTGTAAGATGGTGGTCTTCCATGCCATAATTCATATGGGCTTTTATCTATCTTTTTGCGAGGAATCTTATTTAAAAGGTAATTTGCTGACAACACAGCTTCCCCCCACATGTTCTGTGGAAGTCCAGAACTTAACAACATTGAATTCATCATTTCTTTCAAAGTACGATTTTTTTTTTCTGCAATCCCATTTTGTTGCGGTGAATAAGGTGCTGTCATTTCATGTCTTATCCCATGTTGGGCACAAAATTCAGCAAAAGGTGACTCATATTCACCTCCTCTGTCACTTCACCTTAATCTTTTTATTTAACTGATTTTCAACTTCGTTTTTGTAGAGAACAAATTTCTCTATCGCTTCATCTTTACTTTTGAGAAGATACACATAACAAAATTTAGTGCTATCATCTACAAAAGTAATGAAATATTTATTTCCACCACGTTTCGTAACAGATTTTAAATCACATACATCAGTGTGAATTAAATCAAGTGGTTCACTTTTTCTTTCAATAGTTTGAAACGGTAATCGTGTCAATTTTGCTTCAACACAAGTTTCACACTTATGTTTTGAATCAATATGGAACATAAGTATGCTTTTCAATTTTATTAACTTGCGCAGGGTATTATAATTGACATGTCCCAGTCTACATGCCACACGATGGAAGACTCAAGCATATAAACGGAAGAATTAACATTTTTATTAATTATCATCACATTGAGCTTAAAAAGCCCATTACATTCATAACCCTTCCCTACAAATGCTCCATTTTTAGTCAAAATGACCTTATCAGATTCAAACACTACACGAAAACCATGTTTGATCAACAAAGAACCAAACACTAGGTTCTTGCGAATTTCTGGTACATAAAGGACATTATTAAGAGTCAATTCTTTTTCAGATGTCATTTTCAGTACCACTTTCCCCACTCCTTTGATGTCAGATGTGGTAGAATTTCCCATGAAAAGCTTTTCTCCATCCACAGTCTCGTCAAGGACATTAAACAATTCCTTGTTTGAGCAAGCATGACGGGTAGCACCCGTGTCAATCCACCATTCATGTGGATTTGAGCCCACCAGATTCACCTCGGATATAACTGCAGCGAGGTGCATCTCATCAACATCTTTGGCCAGATTTTCTACCATGTGGGCTTCTTGATTTTTCTTTGGCAACCTACAATCAGATGCCTTATGGCCAGATTTATTACAATTATAACAATTTCCAAAAAATTTTTTCTTGAAAATTTGCTTCTTTGGCCCCATTATTGCTTTCCCATTATTGCCAGCTTTTTTCTTATAATTTTTGTTCGAGCTTTCGCCATGCTCAACAACATTAGCCTTGGCCAAATAAGGGTTAACCATTTTGTTGTCGTAGCCCTTGTTGTCTTCTTCAATTCGAAGTCTAACAACGAGCTCTTCAACGGTCATCTCCTTTTTCTTATGTAATAAATAATTTTTGAAATCTTTCCAGCTCGGTGGTAGCTTTGCAATTATGGCAGCCACCTGGAAAGTTTCATTCACAACCATTCCCTCGGAATGGATATCATGCAAGATTATTTGAAGTTCTTGCACTTGACTGATTACAGTCTTCGAGTCAACCATCTTGTAGTCCAGAAACCGGCCTACAAGAAATTTCTTGGCCCCAGCGTCTTCGGTTTTATATTTTTTATCCAAAGACTCCCACAGCTCTTTTGCTGTTTTGATAGAACTGTACACGTTGTACAGTGTATCAGCCAAGCAGTTCATCACATAATTTCTACACAAGAAATCCGAGTGATTCCATGCATCAAGCGCACTAACCGCTTGAACATCCGGATTTTCCCCCAACTTTGGTGGATTTTCCGTCAAGAACCTCGCAAGGTTCAACGTAGTGAGATAAAACAACATCTTTTGCTGCCAACGCTTGAAATTCAAGCCATTAAATTTTTCCGGTTTATCAGCATGATTTACCGGAACAGAAGGAGAAATAGAAATTGTAGTAGCAACACCGGTATTAGCAACGCCAATAGTATTTTGTTCAGCAGCCATCTTTAAGAGGAATCTGTTTTAAGATTGTAGGGAACTTTAACGGGAAAATAAAATAAGATGGCTGAGGCCTGTGAGAACACAGTGTCCTTAAAACAGATTCGCCCCGTATGAGCGTCTGTTTCCCAGGATACAACGGAAAAACCGAAACTAATCCGGCGAACTGGAACTATGCCTGGACCAAAACACTTAAAACACTTAAAAGAAAAATGGGGAAAATCCTTTGTAATGTTTTTTCTTTCCTTGTTTTTTTTCTTCTCGTGTGTTTTTTTTTTTCAAAAGATAAGAAGTCCCTTTTATAGGCTATGATAAGACATACTCATTAAGTCATTCATTTACTCCAAGAGTAATGTAGTTAAGTTAAATGTAATATTAATAAAACCAAGTTACATGTTTAAAAAATGAAGACACGGTTTCAAATTAAACTTTCAGTTGCAACTTTTATTCAATTTTCCAACACTTCAGTCAAGAAACTTTATCCATGGAAATTTCCATTTTTTCTTGCGAGTTCCACGCCATAAAATTTTAGCTTTATCTCCGAGTCTAACTCTATACTAGTTGTAACCTGTGCATTTGCACAGAAAGCTATTTGATAAAGAATAAAATAATAAAAAATTGTAACAATAGTAAAATCATAACATAATCATTGAAAAAAATAATTTAAAAAAGAACCTTGAAAGGTACCCTCAAATCTAATTGTATGATTTTGAGCCTAGGAATAAGAACCTTATCACCAGCTCTGTCACCGGTTCATATTTTGCATTCGAATACACAGTTGCTGAGCTTAGTAATAACTAATCGAGTATCTACTGATCTCAAAATTCGGAGAACAAAAATATATCAATCGAATTGTACACTAATCAAAGAAAATATAAATGATAGATATGAATTTTATGGGCTGCCAATTGAAGTGCACCCTTTATCGTTGGATGCGATTACCATTTGTCATTGTACCGGTTATCTTGATATCTTCATAACTATCAGTTGCAACCCCAAGTGGCCTGAAATCAGTCGATTCTTTTCTGAGAGGAACCTCAACCCTGAGGACCGTCTAGATATAATTGTTTCGTGTCGTTAATGAGCTAAAAAATAATTATTATTTTAAACAAGTAGTTTAAAATAATCTAAATATTTTTTTTATATGTATAAACTTTCTTATATCCTTTAGTTATTATTAGTTATTATGTAATTATAAATTATATAATTTAATTAATTAATGAAAAATGTAACAATTTCTTTTTACAATTAGTTGAATAAAAGGCGCTGATTTTATTTTTGCAATAAATTCTTTGTCACTAGTTATATATATAGGAATATAAATATAATCATAACGGGTATGATATTTATTTAAAATATATTTATTATCCTTACTACTACTATTTGACGCTATGATTTTATTTAAATGAATGCATTTTCTAAAAAATTAAACGCTACTACTATTTGAGGCTATGAATTTTATTTAAACGAATGTATTTTTTAAAAAATTAAACACGTTCTTATGCAACAATAAATTGTTACTTATAAGAATGATTGTTTTATTTTTATTTTCTATTTTTGTATTATACCCACAGGGTTTGGTAGAATAATTTGTAATCGTTCTATTTAAAAAATATATAGAATAAAAGTTAGAATTATTAAATGAGCGGATAAAACCGTAACAATTAATTTCAATATTAGTATGCTTGCATATTAAGTAAAAGCGAAGCTACTAGTGTAAAAAGAAAAAAAAAAAGAGTGGAATATGTAAATATTTATTGATGTGATAATCCCTATTTTATATATATATATATATAGATTGTTTTAAATTTTAATTAGTTTTTATTAGATGTCATAAAAAAAAATAAAAAGATGAAAATACCATTTAAAAGAGTGAAACGTTACAATGTATAATAATAAATGTACAATAATAATCCTTGATTGTAAAAGTAACGTTCATTTGTATATGGAAGGTTGTAGTATTTATTAGGTATAATTTATTAGGTAAAATTAAATAAGTTTTATTTATTAGGTTTTATTAAATGATTAGCTAGCAATTATATATATAGATATGTGTCAACAATTATCCCCAAATACTTGAATTATATCTCGCACGCAAGGTGTTCAGTTCAATGTCGCAAATGGCTCTTTCGCCTTGCCTGAAGTGCCTCCCCTGTACTCCCCATCACAACCCAGCCCGCTCCTTCATTTTCCATCAGGCCTCAAAGCCCGAAAGAGTAAATTCATCAAATTTCCCACGTATTTGCTCAAGAAATCCACGGGCACTCTCAGCTGCCGTCTCCTCAGGCACTTCAAAGTTCTCATTTGAATATTTGCTTCTGGAAACCCTCCGTCGTGAAGAGGACGGCCCCTCGGCACTGGAACTCTTCAAGTGGGCCTCACGGCAGCCCGATTTCAAGCCCACTCTCCCTATATACCAAGAAATCATCCAGAAGCTCGGGAATGCGGGATCGTTCAACGACATACAGTGGGTTCTGGACGATATGAAGCGTTTGGGTGTTGAGCTCGATGAAGGTACTTTATTTATCGTGATTGATAGTTGTGCGAAATTCGAGATGTACGACATGGCAGTGGATGTTCTCGATTTGATGCGGGATGAGTTCCGGGTGGAGCCCACGACCCACACGTATAACTTCCTGCTGAATCTTCTCGTTGATGGGAACAAGCTGATACTCGTCGAGAATGTGCACTCCAAAATGCTGAGAGAAGGCGTGGTGCCCGACGGCTCGACTTTCAATATATTGATAAAGGCGTTGTGCAAGGACAACAGGATAAGGCCTGCAATCCTGTTGATGGAGGAGATGCCCAAATACGGACTGAGCCCGGATGAGCAAACCTTCACGACCATAATGCAGGGTTATATCCAAGAAGGTACCTTTGATGGAGCTTTGAGGGTTTGGGAGCAGATGGCCGCGGCCAAGTGCCCTTGGACTAATGTGACGGTAAATGTGTTGATAAGTGGATTCTGCAAAGAGGGCCGGGTCGAGGAGGCTCTGGTTTTCGTGCAAGAAATGATGAAAGAGGGTTTCTGTCCTGATCAGCTCAGGTTCAATACTTTAATTAGCGGTCTTTGTAGAATTGGGCACTTGGATCATGGGTTGGAGATGCTCGACTTGATGCTGCAGAAGGGCTTTGATCCAGATGTGTTCACGTACAACACTGTTGTGGCCGGCCTTTGTAAATCAAGCCGAGTCAAGGAAGGCATGGAGGTGCTCGATCAGATGCTTTCACGAGGCTGTGAACCAGATACTGTCACGTACAATTCCATAATCAGCACTTTGTGCATGGAGAATCGCGTCCAGGAAGCCACCGAGCTCGCTCGATCCCTTACGGGCCGCGGTATAATTCCCGACGTGGCCACTTTCAAATCCCTTATACATGGCCTGTGCTTGAGCAGCAAGTTCAGCATGTCCATGGAGTTATTCCTAGAATTGAAGACCAAAGGGTGCAAGCCCGACGTGTCCACTTACAACATACTAATCGACCTCTGCACCGAAGGCAAGCTCGAAGAAGCTTTAGAGCTCTTTAAAGACATGGAGTCGAGTGGGTGTTCAAGAGATGTGGTCACTTACAACATTTTGATAAAGGGCTTTTGCAAAATCAGAAAAATTGAAGAGGCTGAGAAAATATTTGACCAGATTGAGCTGCAAGGCCTGTCTAGAGATCAGATCACATACAGCATCCTTATTGATGGTCTCTGTAAATCAAAGAGGGTCCAAGATGCAGCTCGGCTTATGGACCAGATGGTAATGGAGGGACTGAAGCCCGATAAGTTCACTTTTAACTCCATCCTTACTTATTTCTGCAAAGCTGGCGATTTGAAAAAAGCGGCCGATATTGTCCAAATGATGACATCATCCGGGTGTTCAGGAGATGTGGTCACTTACAACACCTTGATGAAGGGCTTTTGCAAAATCAATAAAATTGCAGAGGCCGAGAAAATATTTGACCAGATTGAGCTGCAAGGCCTGTCTAGAGATCAGATCACATACAGCATCCTTATTGATGGTCTCTGTAAATCAAAGAGGGTCCAAGATGCAGCTCGGCTTATGGACCAGATGGTAAGGGAGGGACTGAAGCCCGATAAGTTCACCTTTAACTCCATCCTTACTTCTTTCTGCAAAGCTGGCGATATTAAAAAAGCGGCCGATATTGTCCAAATGATGACCTCATCCGGGTGTGAACCGGATGTCGTTACGTACTCTACTTTGATCCAGGGACTGTGTAAAACAGGAAGAACAGAGTTTGCCGTACGACTCTTTAGGAGTTTACAGATGAAAGGAATGGATTTGAACAGCTACACTTATAACCATGTGATACTAGCGCTTTTTATAGGGGGGAAAGTTAAAGAGGCAGTACGGCTTTTTAGGGAGATGGAGGGAAAAGGAATCTCTCCGAGTGCTTATTCGTATAAGATTGTGTTTCGGGGGCTTTGTTCTGGTGGTGATCCGATAGGCGAGGCTGTAGATTTCGCACTTGAGATGATGGAGAAAGGGCATCTTCCGGAATATTCCTCGTTCAGTATGCTGGCTGATGGTCTCTGTGCTTTGAAAATGGGGAAGACTTTAGTGAAGCTTGTGGATAAGATTATGGTGAAGGCAGAGTTTTCGGATAGGGAGGTGGCTATGGTTATGGGTTTTCTTAGTATTGGTAACTTCACCAACGGGTTGACTGCTTTTGGCCGGATTTTGGATAGCCGGAGCCCTAGAAAAGGTTAATGGTGATCATGAAAATTGGTTTCTAGAGTTTATGTAAACTAGTTGATTTGTGTGTACTTGTTTCTTAAATTGTTGAATTTTTTAAAAGTCATGGAACTTCTTATATGTTTTCCTTTTCGGCGAAATTGCACGTCACACCATGACCTTATGTGTTAAATTTTTTACATATTGTTTTTCATTTTTTGTTTTGGGCATGTTCATTTAATTTTGGTTCAGTTTTCTGGCTCTCTTTGATCTAGTGATAGCAGGCTATTTCTGGCTATCCCTTATTATTTGTTGATCTGTATAATTTTCTCCTGGTTTGAGTTCGTGATTATTATATCACCAAACTTCTCGAGTTTGCTTGTTAACAGCATGAGATTCATATACGTGATAGCCTATTAACTTCTAGCTTTCATCTATTTATTTGTCATCGACTTGGATTTCAATTGTTATTGAGGAACAATTGATTCATATATACTGCTACGGTCAAAGAGGACTCACAGTTTCATTGTCTTCAAGATAGAGGAAAAGCGAAAGCAGGTAATTGTCGAAAAACTCGGTGAGCCCGCACAAAACTACGAGGACTTTATGCATAGTTTCTATAGTTTGATGGGCAGGTGATGACTATAGTCACCAAGTACTTCATATATTCTGGAGCTGGGTATCTATTTCATACTTTATATACTGTTCTTTTTTCATCCAATTAGAATATTTATGCAAGCATGATAAAAAAGTGTTTCTTGAAAACTATTGTTTGCCACATTCCACTTGGTCAAATATAATAACAGACTGTATAGCACCCAGCAATAAGCTCAGCACGTCGGTCTCTGAGAGAATAGTTACGGCCAAGCTAAGAGAGCTCCCGTTGGTATAGAGACCTGAAGCTTGGCCAAGTAGCTCGGACACGAGTTAAGGGTGCCTAACCGAACAAACACGACCTGGAGGTTACTGGCCTCTAGGAACCCAGTAAGTAAGTCAAGCTCGGTATGCATCAAATTCGGGTGGCCTGGGAGTCGGATGAGACCTCAGGGCAAGGTTGAGGATGTTCTCAAAAAGGCCACAACAGATAATGGGATGGGTGGTCGAACCGACGACCTAGGGATTCTCAAGCTAAAACAGTAAAAGGGGGAAAGAATCCAAGTAACAAATAACTAATCCGTTAAATATTAACTTGTATAATTATTTTGCCTAAGAATGATAATGCCTAAATCCAGTCAGTTACCATGCTCGGTTGCTTCTACGATAGATAAAGTATGTAAGTTCGACTCAATCTCTACCAAACAATAGATTAAGTGCACAAGACAATAGTTGATCAAGCTACGATCCTAACACAAAATCATTAATAGTTGATCAAGCTAC